TTTGTCTTTTTTCGTGTCTGGCAACGGATCGCAACCCTCAGTGTCGCGCCCGTACCGGACCGGGACCGGCAACGGGATCGCAACCCTCGGTGTCGCGCCCGCACCTCGCTCAGCCAGTGAGCGGGAACCGGTCTGTATGTGGGATCCGAACCCTTGGCGGGAGCGCCGCCACGCTCCCAAGCGGCGCACTGTAGCAGTGTGCCACCGGGCCGGCCCTCTACTTTAAAAATTTTTTTATGTCAATATTTCTTTGTCATGTATATTTTTGCAGAAAATAATTCATTTCACAGAGATTTTCCAATCCTTAGCATACAGCTGTGTGGTTTCTCTTATAATTAATAAAATTCCCTTCCATATCTGTTGTTATAATTCCTTTCTCCTTTCTAACTTAATTTCTCTCCCTTCTTTTTCTTGATGTAATTTGATATTATTTTATTAGTAACTACTGTCCTTCACTTTTTTGTTTCTTAATTTATTTTGCTTTTACTTTTCTTATATCCTTCTTACATCCTTCTTACTGTTAATTTGTTTCTTAATTTATTTTGCTTTTACTTTTCTTATATCCTTCTTACATCCTTCTTACTGTTTCCTCAGCATTTTTATTGTTCTTGATGGAGTTTTTATAAAATCCTAATTTGAATATTTGGTTATTTTATTTTCCCTTTGGTCAATTAAACCACTTAAAGATATCAATTTTCATCTTAGCATAGCTTTGGTTTATATCACAGATTTTGCTATGTGTATCCACACACGGACACACATACTCATTTAGTTTTTATTATTTTCTAAGAAAGCTATCTTTTTTTATAAACTCCTTGATTCAATTGGTTAAGACAGCATTAAAAAATGTCCAAGGGGATACCTTCTTATTTCAACATATAATTAATTTCTAGTTTAATTTCATTGTGATTAGAGACTGTGGTTAGCACAACTTCTGTTTTTAAATTTTTATAGATTTTTATCATGGTCTTCTGAATTTATGACTAATTTTTACAAACTGACAAGAAGGCATATGAACAGTAGGGTATATAAATTTGATATATACTTATGAATTATACTTCTCTAAATATATTCTTCAAATAGTTTACATTTCCTAAATACTTTTTCTCTACTTCATTTGCTTAGACTTACTACTTTCTGAGTTCTAACAGCTTTGCTTTACGTATTTATTTATTTATTTATTTAAATGGCTGGCTAGTACAGGGATCAAACTCTGGACCTTGGTGTTATCAACACCACAGTCTAACCAACTAAGCTAATCAGCCAGCCCTGCTTTATGTATTTAGTTGTTATATGTTATTTGATTCACACAAGATCCAGATTATTATGTGTTGACTACTGATTATGTGTTTTGTTGATATAAAATGGTATTCTTTGTTGTGTTCTAACTTCCCTTTTAATAACTTGAATGTGTTTCCAGCTTAAGGCCTCATCAGGTACTAAACTGAATAAAATTATTGAGTAGGGAAACAAGACAGCAAGAATTAGAAATTAAATTAGATAGCTACCAAAAAAATAAAATACCTAGGAATAAATTTAACACAGGATCTCTGCATATGAAAATTACAAAACACTGATGAAAGAAATTACAGATGACACAGAAAAATGGAGAGACATTCCATGCTCTTGGGTTGGAAGAATTAATATTGTCAAAATGACCATACTACCCAAAGCAATCTACAGAGTCAATACAATCCCCATCGAAATACCAATGACATTTTTCACAGA